GATGGAGCCGTACTTTTTGACCGGAAGTGACGCATTTGTTTCTCTCATGTATCGGGACATGGCTTGGCAACTGGAAGGGCACCAGTTCAATTCCTGGAAAGACCTACCGAGGTGTCCGTTCCCTACACTGCTCCCCGGGCGCCGTACATAATGGCAGCCCACTGCTCCTAACACTAGGATGGGTCAAATGCAGAGAAACCGTATCGTTACATAGTACCTGTACTACGTAATGACAATAAGTTGAATCTTCTTCAATTAAGTATGTTCATTGTTGTCTGGGGTCAAAAACTGTGCAGATATTCAGAACGTCTGCCAATACAGCTGTGTGGTGCCTGCGTCATTCAGTTTTGTAAATATAACATTTTCTTCGCTAAGAGCTTAAACAGCAATCCAAATACCATCCGTCACTATCAAACACAAGTGTCGGAGAACAAAACAAAGCCAGTGTTTATCTTTAGAAGAATGTTATCTTCCGGGAAGGTAGATAAAAGTAACATCAAGTCCCTGGTGTGAAAAATAAACGTTGGGAATCAGTGTGACCTCAGTGTTGCCATTTACAGTAACAACAACCCCCTGCTTGGTCACTATGTCCTCATTAAAAACTGCAGAGTGCTGTTCACGAGGCTCCCATAACACCACTTTTAAGATAGCAAGTGGACCAACAAGCTCACCGGTTGCCGGATTAAATGTGAGGTTTGAAATTGTTGGCTGAGGAAATTGCTGGCCTTGGTATTGGTGCAGAGTCAGGGAAAGGTGGGCGTAGTAGTGTGGGTGATTTTGGTTTTTAATCACAGCTAAAAGCGGGTCTGGGATAGTAGAGTGTGTCAGGGTGGTCAGCGTAAACAGCACGAGAGTAACACCACATTTTGTGTGATAGCAAAATAGGAAAGGAAATTCCTCCAAGTAGAAAAACGGCAAGAAAATGAGGCTGACTATTGCCCTGTGGGGAGGAAACTCGCTATGGAAGTGCTGAATGTAGATATACAGGTGAACAGTCACTGCATTTCATTAACAGTTACAACTAAGTCTCTTGGAAATGTCCTCATGCATTACTTTCTCTTGATACATGTCTTATAAGAGAGGTAGTTCAGCATGTGTGACTGTAACAACATGAGTAAACACATTGGTATGAGACAAGTGTGTGCAGTTTTATGTAAAGCCCTTCCACACAAATCCCTGATCGTGGAGGTGTAACAAATAGTCCTCTGGTTGTCTGTCAGTGTCCCCACAGAAAAACTAAAGATGATCAAGGAGGTGAAACCCAATCACACGCTGACACTTGAGATGCTTTTAAGTCTGCTGCAGGAGTGAAACACACCTGGATACATTGAGTCTCAACCACTTCTGGTGGTGTTTTGATCATTGTGTGCACTTTAATGTGTATTGGGTGTCTGGAGGCCTAATTTGCATGCAGTAAAGCAGAAGTAGACCTTTTATCAGATGCCACAACTCATATTTTTTTACACAATGAATCAAAACTAGCCTCATGTTGCTTTCACTAACGTTAACAAAGTGGAAGTGGAACTTATAAGTAGTGGTGTTGCAAGAATACAAGATATTTAAGTGAAGCACACAAGTCTTACCTCCTCGTCCACCATTCCTGGAGGACCCTCGGCTCTGTGTGTCCTCCCAACCTTCCCAGTATCTCCCCACACATCCTCCCATGGTTGTAGGGCTTCAGACGATTTCCACTAGCTGAGAAGGGGGCCCATCGCGGAGGAAGACGATAAACTAGGTCCGATTTGGAGCACGAGTTGCAGGTCCAATGTTGCAAGCCTATGGGTCATCCGTAGCGGCAAACACAGGGAAGCTTTGGTGCCTGATAGTCTGAGAAATACCTGAAAAAATGTTGCTTAAATGCGTTTTCTCTTATGTGCTATCTGTGTGTGACACGACCCCACAGGATTGAAAACTAGTCCCTACACTACAAGTTTGAAAACAGCAAGTCGACAGCTACAGATATCAAACTATTATTTTTACAATGTCAGAATACAACGAGCAGCATGTCAGATATTCAACTTGCCTGCAAACTAAATGCTGAAGTCCACCTTCTTCAAGCTAACAAGCTAATAGGGCCAACCGTGGATGTGGAAAGAAAACAGGATACTCCGTTCACTCCTATGAGAGTTGCTCAGTGGCGCATGAATCCCAAAATACAGCGACTGAAGATTCAGAAAGAACCAGGATCATCCGGGGCCTCGTTGTTATGGAGCATGCGCACTTGAGTGTTCCCTTAAGCCCCACCTCCAAACTCAGTCCACTGAATGGAGAGGAGAAAATAACTCTGAATTCAGCTTTTTACAACTTTTTAGACCCTAATTATTTAAACAAGGGCAATGAAAGTGTTCGAGTAGGGTAGTTTAATAAGCTAAAAAAAATGTGTACGCTGATTTATAGAAGTCTCTTTCCTCAATGTTAATGGAAAAAAGTATATTTCGGCCAAAACGACGTCACGGAAGCTGTAGTACCACCGTTTGAACACTACGCCCATTCATAAAAATCTGCTTCAACGTTCGGCGCACTTCCTGGCTAGCTAGCTACTACAACATCAGTAAACACACACTTCCGCACACTCGTGACCATATTCCAGTACGTTTTAGTTTCCTCCAAAGGTAGTAGATAGTTACAGTTTCCAGCAGAGTTCGGTAGATCGCTTCAGTTATTTGCGGTTGCCTCCAGATTTAGTTTTTCCTCGTTAAATCCCACAGACGTTACTTCCCTCTCTGCTGGACTTTTCCACGCATGCGCAGAAACACACAGGCATGTGTTGGGTTCTTTTACGTCAGGAAAAAAAGCTATCAGGTTCAGAAACTTGCCGAGTATGTTTTGACATACGAGGAATTTGCCTTGGTATATGGTGCATACATAAACACAGTTACAGGCATTATGTTTGAATACATTGTTTTTTTAATGATACCGGTCGTTTTATTTTAAGTTTTAACAGCAATATTGATGTCGTCTTTACGGTGTATTTGAATTCGAACAGTACTTGAGGGCATCACCAACAAATTATTCAACATTAAGATTTTATTTTATTTTGTATTTCATTTTTACCAACATACAAGTAACCAAAATAGTCACAAAACATAGCTAGTTAATGTTTCGTTTTAAATAATAAAAGTTAAATGTGTCACTTTTCACCCCTAACTTTCCGCGCATGCGCAGTCTCAATTCAGTAACGGGCACGATGGCTGCGGACAGTGCGCTGCTGCTGTCTCTGGTGGAGGAGTATGTCTCTGGACTGCAGGACAGCAAAGCCAAAGACACAGCAACAGGTAAATAAGACTTCATCCTAATTTCCTCCACATGTTTCCAGAACACCAGGTTTTTAAAAAACAAGCCTTTAAAGCTTGCTGAGCTTCAAGGATGCGCAACACGGCATGCTGGGAAACGAGCTAACTTAGCACCACAACATCCTGTGTGCTCTTCAACCTCAAGTCACACAAAACAGACATTTTTTAACTAGTTTATTCATTTTATCACGTTATTAGTACACCCTGAATGTACCCCTCGTGTTAAATTGTGCTGTCATTGATTAATAATGTGAATTTAGATGCTAGTTAAGTGTGTTATCACCGCTTGCTAGCTGCTGTGTTTGTGTTCATTGAAAAGCATCCTGTCAATGAACTCTGCACCTTTGAACCTGCCCATACTGCTAGTTAATCTATAGTTAACCACTAGAGATAGATAAGTTATGCTTATGGGTTTGTTGTTGCAAAATTCACTAAACTTGGCTTTCTGTGCAGCTGTCAAAAATGGAGAGTTTACAGTTCTGCAGCTGGTGGAGGCACTGGGGTAAGCTATCAACATTTGTATTATTACAGCAATAACATTAACAAACAAAATGCATTATCATTGTATGATTTAAAAAATATCCTCTCTATCTGTTGGTTTAGTATGAGTATGTCAAAGAAATACCACTGCTCTTACCCATTTATTGTAGATATGCTGGACATATATTCTTTAAATTCTTGTACACTTCTTTTTACATTGTTTAATTGTTTAAAAAACATTTTTTATACAATTTCTCCTTTTCAGTATCAGCTCATATTTCTAGTTTTACAATTTCTCTTTCCCTGTTTTTGAATGCACCATTATACACCAAAGCAAATTCCTTGTGTGTAAAAACCAACTGCAATTTAGCAGATATTGCCGCATATGGAATATAATATTAATAACATGTCATTTATATAGCGCTTTTCCTGGTGCTCAAAGCGCTTAATATATAATATATGTCATTATTTAACATATTTCAGATTTCAATTCATTAAAAAGCAACATTTAAACTCAAGAGTTGCTCAGCTCTCATATTAATCGTTTTCTTATAATTAACATTTTTCCCCTCCTGTTGTAGACTGAGTCTGACCAGCTCTCAGCCTCACACTCGAGCCAGAGGAGTCCAGCTTCTCTCCGAAGTTTTACACGAGTGCTATGGAGGTCTTACCGAGAAAGAAGGTGATTCAATTTCTAATTTACTGTTTCTAGATATCATAAGCAATACTCATTGTTCCCCGGCTCAGAACCAAACACGCCGAAGCTGCTTTCACTTCCCGAAAACCTGAGTTCTTCATCAACGCTGAGTTCTTTGAACTTGTTTTAGCACCTACTGTATTTACAATGTTATTTTTAAACTATTCTGTATCTCTTTTATGCATAGTTTTTATAAATCTGTTATTCCATTGTGTTTATTTATTGTATTCCTTTCTGTTGTCTTCCTATTAAATGTTAATGTCTGAAAATGTGCAATATAAATAAACGTGGTGAACATGGTATCTAGGTGCAAAAACCACTCAACCTCTCAGTGCCTTATTGCTTGAGATATAAAATGTTGACCGATTGTCATTTGATTGCTTGTCGTGTTGCAGGAGCACATGCACCATATTCATGTGAAGAGTTATATTATAATATATACGTTATCTTCCTGTGTCTGTTCTCCACAGTGGAAGTGCTCCTTGTCTTCTATGAAAACCGTCTGAAGGACCATCACGTCATCACTCCTCCGGTTTTACAGGGGCTCAGAGCGCTGGTGAGTGTCCGCCTCCTGGAGACTTTCAGTGACAGAAAGATCATCTGACGGTTGATTTTGCAAATTAGTTTTTTGCTTTGCAGGTTTTATCAGAATCAGAATCAGAACACCTTCATTAGTCCCACAGAGGGGACATGTATGTAGTTACAGCAGGAAAAAGAGCCACAGACAGCTTATTGTAACATATGTTACATGCATTCAAAAGTACTAGTACAGGATAGTGGTGGTCTCATGGATAGTGAGGTGGGCTGAAGATCGGAAGGTTGTGAGTTCAAATCCCGCCAGGAACACCGCCCTTGAGTAAGGCACTTAGTCCTTAGTTACTCCAGGGAGAATGTCCCTGTAATTGGTCATTGTAAGTTGCTTTGGATAAAAGCATCAGCTCAATGAAACGTGATGATGATGTGATGTGAGTACTAAGTTATGATATAATACAAAATATAATAAAAAGTTTCAAAATACACATCCTGTAACAGTTCTTAGGATTTAGCAGCCAGGTATATATTACACAGTTATTAATGGCATTTATATATAGCACATAGTTGGTTGGTATTTAACAGCAAGGGGTGTTATAGTCTGTGTTGTGGCGTGTGTAGGGGAGGGGGGGTCTACTAGGGGCCGTGCTGGTTGTATAGTCTGACCGCTGCAGGAAGGAAGGACCTGGGGTATCTCTCCGTGAGACAGCGGGGGGGCAGCACAGTGAGGCCAGGGTGTCCTGGAGGGGGTGGGACACATCGTCCAGCAGGGAGGACAGCTTGGCTGCCATTCTCCTGTCTCCCACCCCCTCCACAGTGTCCAGAGGACTCCCCAGGACAGAGCTGGCCTTCCTTACCAGTCTGTTCAGTCTCTTCCCGTCAGCAGCCGAGATGCTGCTGCCCCAGCAGGTCACACCATAGAAAATGGCTGATGCCACAACAGTCATTGTCTGAAGGAGTACCCCTCTCCACAAAGCGGACATTTACAATTTTAACAGCAAGTAAAGAGCCAAATATAATTTTAAGATAACTTAATTAAGAAGCATGCATACAAATATTCAAGATAAAAGTAGATATTACACAATTTACAATTACAAAACACAACCAGTACCAGAGTTTTGAGATATAGCAGCCAGGTTAAAGTATACAGTAAACTTATTCACTTATTCTATATTGCACATCATTTTGAGAAGCTCTGACTCTTGTGCACAATGTGTTTGTTTCTGCCTTTTTCCAGACAAAATGTACGGTGCTGCCTCCTGGCTCAGCGGTGTCCATGCTGAGGTGTTTGTTCCAGGATGTTCACGTTCAGGTGAGACTTATATTCATATTTGAACATACACCCAAAGACATCTGTTATTGTAAGAGGATCCTGAGCATATATGCAAACACAGACTCTTATAAAATATCCACAATTGGAGTGCTTCAAGATAATTGTTTCCTCTATCTGCAAAGCCCTTCCTCTTTTTCAAAGTATTCTTTTGTTGGTAAACTTGACTCATCTAAAGTTCTTGATTCCAAGGTATTGTGGGTAAAAACACTCATAGATTCTGTTTATTTATCCCTTAGTCTTTAATGCTGACGGAGAGAGCCTGCGTCTACAACATGCTCATCAACCTCATGGCGATCAGAGAAGCAGGTACGTCTGATTCCTCAGTTAGTTAGTTACCAACATTTCCCCATAATTACTGAGAGATCTGCTGGAACAACACAAAGCTTCTCTGTTATATGGCGCATTTCCACTGCAGGACCTAGCCCGGCTTAGTACGGTATGGTTAGGCCTTGGTAGGCCAGGCTCACTTTATGCTGCGTTTCCATTACAGTTTAGTAGCTGGGGCAGTAACTATAGTAACGCAGTGTAGGCGGAGCCGTGACGTCATCTTCAATGCGAACCATAAAACCAACATCAGCCGTTAGCTGTTAGCCCTCAGAGCAGAGTCCTGCACGGGTCTGATTTTCAAGACCCGCTCCCGCCCCGCACCCGCGACGTGAAATACCGAACCCGCCCCGCTACCCGCACATATTACCAATTAGTTCCGCAACCCGACCCGACCCGTCGGCACAGGATC